GGAACTTTAATAATTTTGTAACCTGGTGCTACATTTGGACAAAACATGTGAATTATATGTACTAGATTATTATTCTGATATGAATTTGTTACAACATTACACTTTATACAAATCGAGTTGACCCTTATAGGGAAATCAGCTACATGTGTTTTTCGAGGTTCAAATTCTTTTTTCTTGAAACCAAGCAACGAACCAATATTATTTTTGTTCTTAAAATTAATTAATTTATTACTTTTTATTATTATTACTAATTTTTAATACTAATAATACTACTAATAATACTACTAATAATACTACTAATAATACTACTAATAATACTACTAATAATACTACTAATAATACTGTTGGTTCATCTGATTTATTTATTGTTTTTTATTTACAGTTGACACATTATGTTTTTTGGTTCAGGTAATGTAATTGTTTTGTTTATAGTATTAATTATTGAATATTTTTTATATTATAACTTCATAATAACCTCCTGGAATTTCTATTTTGTAATTGTCAATGTAAAATTTATTATTTGTTTTAACAACATTTTGAATGGTATTGTATGTAAAGAAATCGATTAATCCTAATACATATTAATTTTTTATTTAAAATAAGGTGAGGGTATATTTTTGTTGATAACACAGACGATCTATCAGACAAAACAAATGAGTAATACATTTTGTTAGGACAAGGTTTCTTAATAAAATAATTGGTTTTTCATAAACACATTTTTACATACATCAATTCTGCTTCAGTATTATAATCAAAGATCTTGCCTCATTAGAGTGATATTTCCCAAAGGTTTTATCAAAAATACTTTATTTTGTTAAGTTTCTTAAAACTTGTTTTTGTCTTCGTAGAATTGTATGTCTCTACTTCTCTAACTTTTTCTGCAAACTCTTCAATTTTACGTCTATTCTCTTCGCATATGATTCTGTTAGGGTAAGGTTTCTAAATAAAATTAATTATTTTTCATAATCATACTTTTATTTATCTAAAAATTTTAAACATAAATGATCACTAATGAAACTTATGTTTTGATAAGCTGTATGACAGTAAAATATTTTACAAAATCCATTTAAATTAAAATATTCTAAAACTTCTTTATAAGGTCTAAGATTACCATATCTATCAAAATATATAGTTAAATCTCCATTTTTTTTATATGCGTATCTGGTCCATTTTTATCAGCCAAATTAATAATACCACTTTCATTCTTTCGGATCTTTTTCAGAAGACCATTTCTCATGTAGACACCACAGAAATTTAGAATGTTTAACAATGTTGCATATTTGAATAAAACTAAATGGGATGTTTGGGTAGATTTATTTGTGTTTTATTGCTATTCATAAAAAACACCATATCCTGATTTATACGGATTTAAGTAAAGACCCTTTCTCATTGCTATACATTTCATTGTTTCATTACGACGGTCTGATTCTTTTAATTATTCTTTGGCTGCTCTCGCATCATTAACAGCTTCAGCTTTACCAGCAGCGGAATCGCTAAAAGCACCAAGAGCACTTAATCCAGCAAAAAATTCAAATTAAAGGAAGTATACTATCAGTTTTGGGTATCTGAATAACAAGAGGTTTAGAACATTTTTTCTTGATAGATTTTACTGCTCTTACTAGCTTCACCCAACGTTTTTGATTTATAAATATTTAAAATCTTTTTAATTTTTCTAATAACCTCTGATCATTTTAATGATTTTACTTTATTATTTCTTGTCTTTGTCCTTTTTTACTTTCCTGTCTGTATACAGATAAGGAACGTATAGGAAGGTGTGTGTGTGTATTGTGTGTGTGTGTGTGTGTGTGTGTGTGTGTGTGTGTGTGTGTGTGTGTGTGTGTGTGTGTGTGTGTGTGTGTGTGTGTGTGTGTGTGTGTGTGTGTGTGTGTGTGTGTGTGTGTGTGTGTGTGTGTGTGTGTGTGTGTGTGTGTGTGTGTGTGTGTGTGTGTGTGTGTGTGTGTGTGTGTGTGTGTGTGTGTGTGTGTGTGTGTGTGTGTGTGTGTGTGTGTGTGTGTGTGTGTGTGTGTGTGTGTGTGTGTGTGTGTGTGTGTGTGTGTGTGTGTGTGTGTGTGTGTGTGTGTGTGTGTGTGTGTGTGTGTGTGTGTGTGTGTGTGTGTGTGTGTGTGTGTGTGTGTGTGTGTGTGTGTGTGTGTGTGTGTGTGTGTGTGTGTGTGTGTGTGTGTGTGTGTGTGTGTGTGTGTGTGTGTGTGTGTGTGTGTGTGTGTGTGTGTGTGTGTGTGTGTGTGTGTGTGTGTGTGTGTGTGTGTGTGTGTGTGTGTGTGTGTGTGTGTGTGTGTGTGTGTGTGTGTGTGTGTGTGTGTGTGTGTGTGTGTGTGTGTGTGTGTGTGTGTGTGTGTGTGTGTGTGTGTGTGTGTGTGTGTGTGTGTGTGTGTGTGTGTGTGTGTGTGTGTGTGTGTGTGTGTGTGTGTGTGTGTGTGTGTGTGTGTGTGTGTGTGTGTGTGTGTGTGTGTGTGTGTGTGTGTGTGTGTGTGTGTGTGTGTGTGTGTGTGTGTGTGTGTGTGTGTGTGTGTGTGTGTGTGTGTGTGTGTGTGTGTGTGTGTGTGTGTGTGTGTGTGTGTGTGTGTGTGTGTGTGTGTGTGTGTGTGTGTGTGTGTGTGTGTGTGTGTGTGTGTGTGTGTGTGTGTGTGTGTGTGTGTGTGTGTGTGTGTGTGTGTGTGTGTGTGTGTGTGTGTGTGTGTGTGTGTGTGTGTGTGTGTGTGTGTGTGTGTGTGTGTGTGTGTGTGTGTGTGTGTGTGTGTGTGTGTGTGTGTGTGTGTGTGTGTGTGTGTGTGTGTGTGTGTGTGTGTGTGTGTGTGTGTGTGTGTGTGTGTGTGTGTGTGTGTGTGTGTGTGTGTGTGTGTGTGTGTGTGTGTGTGTGTGTGTGTGTGTGTGTGTGTGTGTGTGTGTGTGTGTGTGTGTGTGTGTGTGTGTGTGTGTGTGTGTGTGTGTGTGTGTGTGTGTGTGTGTGTGTGTGTGTGTGTGTGTGTGTGTGTGTGTGTGTGTGTGTGTGTGTGTGTGTGTGTGTGTGTGTGTGTGTGTGTGTGTGTGTGTGTGTGTGTGTGTGTGTGTGTGTGTCCACCATAACTCATGAACCGATACAAACAGAAACATCAAATTTTAAACTTTAAAGCTTTATTCCGATGTCCAATGAACTGATTAGATTTTGGGCAGAGTCAAAACATCTGGGGGGTACTTTAGAAGTGGTCATTTTTATATTTTATGGAATATATCTGTTATTTATGTTTGGAGAAGAAAATTCTTTAAATAAAAGTTACTTACAATATTATTATAAATATTTTTTTATAAAAGTTGATTAAATAAAAGTTGTTTATTGGAAGCCATTTTTATATTTTATGGAATATATGTTATTTATGTTTGGAGAAGAAAATTATATAAATGAAAGTTACTTCTAATATTATTATCTATAATTTTTGTTTTATGTAAAATTTTCCTGAAATGGTCCGTATTCGGGAAATTTGACAAAATGTGCTAAATTCTGATTTTTAAGAAATTGTTAAACTAAAAGTTGTTTGCGATATCGATCTTTATAATTTTTGTTTATACATGATTTTTCTAAAATGGACCGTAATGGAAAAATTAAAATTTTTCAGTATTTTCGTTTTCAATGAATATCTATAGAAAAATGTTTCGAGGTATATGTATGTGGAAAATGTATATATTTAGTCTATCCTTTAAACATTTATAGAGATGCTGCAATGGGTTGTACAAAAGCCTAAAATAACTAGATAGGAAAGTCATGTGTTGGACACATCAGATTTTTTGTAGACTTTCTGCTCCTAGTTTTCGTTTTGTTAGTCTTTACAGGCATGTTCATAAATTTAAACTAATAAGTAAAACGCAGACACACAATATTTATAACAAGTTCACTACTATAGATCTGTTTTAAGTTTTTTATTAATTTCTACGTTAACATTATCATCATCTTCATCATCATTATAATCAATATTACTTTTTTTACATCCATTAATAGAAATTATTATGGGTTTATTTAGATTGATTTCCATTTTATTAAAGCATTCTTTTATTTTTTCCGTATTTTATTATAACCAATATCAACATCCATATTATATTGATCTTGTAATAATTGCTTTTTCTTTTTATTAATTTTTTTTTTAATTGTTGTAGTAGTTGTATTTTCTTTTGAGTTTTCTTCTTTGTATTTAAACTTTTTTGTATTTAAAAGCAGCATGCACTTCTGTATACCTTCTTCCGCTTTACTTAATGATTGTTTAACTTTTAATATTTCTTCCACTTTACTTAATGATGGTTTGTTTAACTTTTAATATGTCTTTTGTATACTTTCCAATCGTTAATTTAGGAGAAAATGTAGTTAGTTCTAAACCTAATTTAATTTTGGTTTTCATAGCTCCAGCAACACCCAAAGCTGCAAGTTTCTCTGAAAAAGCAACATTTTTTTAACAAAATTGTATCAAAGCCTTTTCAGCTAATATTTTATCAGCTTCATGACGTTTTGTAAAATCCTTTTGCGTTGAATAAGCAATATCATATTCGCGGCATGCCATTCTTTCAAAAATGTGAAAAAAAGTTTCTTTTCAGGTTACTTATCACATTGATTTATGTAAATAAAAATAACGAGTAACAGGTTTCACTATTGTTTATTGATATCTGCAGCTAAGTCAGGCCGAGTACAGTTAGTAGTTTAATGGGTGACCATTTCAATGAAAGTCAGCGTACCCGAACAAACTGCTCACGTAGTTACATATCACAGCGAGAATACGATTAAAGCAATGAGTACGAGGCATAGATTGGGTGTGCAATCTTTCGGGGAATATGTAGAGCCGTTGGTCTCGGGTCCATGGATGGGCCTGTTAAGATATCTACCTCTGGTTGAAACACAAAAGTATTTGGAAGGTATTTGGGGGTAGCGTGCTCACCAGCGTTGGTGTTTAAACCTCGTAATTAAAAATAGGTCGACGTTAAATAATTTAATAAAAATAATAAATATTCTTTTATTTTAGTGGAGACAGATTGTATGAATCGGCAAAACGATTATGATGCAAGAGAAGCTGCTGGTACTCTAGGAACCATGGAAGTTCGTCAGGAATGTGAGAGTAATGGGGAATTTGTATCTTATAAATGTATACCAGGTCAAACGTAAGTTTCAGTAACAATTCAAATTTGAATTAGAGATTATCGAACAAGAATATTGATATATTTATCTTTCTTATTGCATGTTTGATAACACTAATAAGGAATTATCTACAAAACACATTTCTTAAGTAGGTTGTGAAACAATTTATGCATGACGGAGCGTATAATTTATTCAAATATTAGTTTGCATTTAGTCTAGAGCCGTGCGTAGTTATTTCTCTGTATTTGTCGATCATGTCCCACTTTAGAAACATTTTTTGTGGATTGCTCTTTATAATAAAGTAAGATTGAATATTATTAAAGAAATTACTAACGTTATTTTTAGGTGTTATTGTGTTAATGAAAAGGGAAATAGAATTTTTGGAGAAGCAGACTTTACGTCTATTCCTGACTTGGAGTTGAAATGTAGTAAGTAGACTTATTTTATCTATCGTGAAAAAAATTAATAGAATAAAATTTGTAATTGGGATATGCAAAACATTTCATCTATGTTTTTATCAGTAGTTACATATTCTTTTCGTTCCTGTTTTATAATCATATACTGTTTTTAGTACCCCAGTAGACTAATAGATAAAGCTTTAGCATTAACAGAATGTGTTAAACAAAATTCTTTAAAAAGTATTTCAGAATGATTATATATAGTTTGTCAGTGTATGACGCAATTTTTTGTAATTTGTAAGTTAAATTTTTTAAATTTTACACTGGCTTAATATTTAACATGAAGCAGTTTTCTGACGATTCAAGAGTGTAGGTTTTAAAATGCAGTAAATTATTTAAATTGTGGCATACAAAACAACTGGACGTTACAGTTCATTGTTGATATTTAGTGTTAAAATAGTTAAAATAGTCGTGACTATGAAGACTAGAGATAAGGAGGCGAATCGGCCTTGGTCAAATTTCAAATTTCCGTCCCTATTTTTATGGAGTTCCAAAAAACTACTATAGTTTGCGGGTGGCAAAATAACGACGCCTATTTTCTATGCAAGTCAATGGGAATTAAAGTGATTTTTGTAAAATTTGGTGAAAAGAATAAAAATAAGCTGAAATAAAGAACCTGACTACAAGTAACAATGAGTAACAAAAAACGACAAAGCAGGATTACAAGGAGATAAAAATCCAAGTCTTTTTAACCGACTTCAAAAAAGGAGGAGGCTATCAATTAGTCGCGATTTTTTTTTTTTTTTTTTTTTTTTTTAATGTGTGTTCAGCGATTATTCTTTAACAGGGTGTCCGATTTCAATGATTCTTTTTTTGTTAGAAAGAGGGTACTTCAGGGGTGGTCCCATATATATTTGGTCAAAATCTAATAATTGGGTCAATGAGAAAATCATCAAACTCTTCATTTTTTATGTATGTTCAGCGATAATTCTTTAACACGGTGTCCGATTTCAATGATTCTTTTTTTGTTAGAAAGGGGGTACTTCAGGGGTGGTCCCATATAAATTTGGTCAAAATCTGATAACTGGGTCCATGAGAAATTCCTCAAATTCTTCATTTTTCATGTATGTTTAGCGATAATGCTTTACGACCTTGTCCTATTTATATGATTCTTTTTTTGTTAGTAAGGGGGTACCTCAGGGGTGGCCACATATAAATTTGGATAAGATGTGCTGACGGCATCTGCACGTTTTTGAAGTCGGTTTTTTTAAATTTTTAATTTAGATCACTTGTTAAAGCTCCTAGTGTAAGTAAAATAATGTATTTATTTCAAAATAATATATATTTATTGTAAAATAGTCACAACCCGTATCTTACGGAGTGTAGTTTATTTAGTTACAAAATTCTATAATAAAAAATAATAAAGTCATAAATCCTGACTTACAAACAACAATAATTACACATTAAATTTAACTTACTAGAAAAGAAAATTTGCTTTTTTTATGTTTTTTGATGTTAGATGAAGAGTTACTACTGGTATTTTTCTTTACCATACTCCAATTTAGTCAAATATTTTTTATAGGATCCTAAACGTTTAGAACAATGGCAGCATGTAATTCCTAGGGCTGATAAAGTACTGTCTAGTTAGGATTCTGTTTGCGAGCTAGACTTTTTAGAAGATGTTATTTTAAAATTTGATGAGACTATTTTAACTAATGGTACTGTTAGCAAAATAAAAAGGGGACAGCTTAAATTAAAGGATGAGGTAATACCATGTACATTCCCAAATCTCCCTTTATACTTGTATTACAACAATAAAAAAATCTGTTAACTGTGTTTTATTTTACTCTTAAAACTATATATTGGTTCAATTTAAAAAAAAATTTGCCTCAAAATTGTACTTATCAAATTTCAGCAATTAAGAAACCTTTTCGAATTTGGTCATACATACCAAAATTGTATTTTATATAGATAAACTTAAATAATGTATCAATTAAAACATGCAAGACTTATTTAGAAATAAATACAACAGTATATTCTGTGCTTTATTTAGCTGTAAACAAGTTTATTTTTATTATTTTGACAAAATTATGTATAATTCCCATAAGAAGCCATGTATTTTGAACTACGTAAACCGTACCAGCGCCCATGCGGTTAATTATAAAAGCTCAATTGACGTGTGATTTTTGGGATCGTATTTTGAGCATGCCGAGTCGCCTCCTTACCTCTAGTCTTCATAGTCGTGACCACAAAAACAAGTTGGTAACACGTGTTATTTACTTCTACGCATCACATGTTACCATGGCCACGATGTCTGTATTCCTATTATACCTTGTTGAACGACAAGGTTTGTAAACTACTAGAGGCGATTTTAAATCAGTTACTAGAAAAGGCGATTTTAAATCAGATACTATGTCTTGAATATGATTGACTACACTGATACAAATCAAAAACAATGACGTCATATTGAATATTGTCTTGAAATAGTCAAGTTTAACATGACTACAGTAAAAACGTGGTCATCACAGGTATGAAATGTCAAATGAAATGACAAATGTAAAACTTTTACTTTTTAATTATTAAATCATTGTTTGGTTGCGTTATTTGTAAAATAGAAAGAAAGATTTACGAAAGGGAAAAGTGGGACAATGGTGACGATAGGGTATCACGTTTAAAAAACAGGTATTTTTTTAAAATAAGCTCCTTTTTTGTAGAGATCTAAAAAAAGGTCCTCCGCTTATATTTATTTAAACCATTAGATTCCTTTTTCTGAGCTTCTCAAAAACAGGTCAAACATTGTCAAAAATATCATTATATATAACTTTGAATTTAAAAAACGTAGCAATAAGGTAAAATGCGGAGCATTTTTGTACTTTGGCGTAACGCGTGCCAGCAAGTTAAAAAGCAGGACAATTACGCCTAAAGCGCGACGTCTGGCAACCCTGGCTGAGTACCTAGATATGGACGCATTTAAGGTTTCTGCAAATGAAAAGCCAATTTATTTTCAAGGTAGGATTTATTAATGAACATGGCTAAAGTTTTGATAAAAAATCAGAGGCCAAAGTAACTATAATACCAATTTTCTCTTTATCCATGATCAGTAAACAAAACAAATATTTATTTTTATCCCTACAAATTCAAAAACAAATCCTACTACTATTACATAACACACAAACAAAAATTCATGATATCTGTCAATGTTATACCCATTATGAAGTTAGTGTCAATATAGTTAAGTTAACAACACTTTAAGTTTCCAAAAAAAGCAAACTTTATTTATTTAAAAAATATACAAAAATGGATCTTTAATTAACAATGTTTATCGTAAGTGATTAAAATAAAAAGAACGTTGATTCCCACGTTGACATGGTATTTATAATCTCGGTTCATTGTCGCCAAGGTGCAAAGCGCTGACTTTGCTGACGAGGCACTCCGGGCATTGAACGGTGGGTTTCTATCACATTTCTCCTCCCTCCTTTGGTCCTGGCTTCGTCCTCGAAGTCTCTACGAGTAGCTCCTGAAGAACCTGGATTTGTGCTGGTTGTAGTTTGGGCCCAAAAAGAATTTTTGATATTATTTTCTTTTTCTTTACTGCGATAGTAAAAAGGATGGCTGAAACAGAAATTATAAGGACAAGGGCGACAGTGCTGAGTCCTGTTGAAATTTGTGGCATAAGTGCTATTGGCTCTATTGGTTGGAGTTGTCCGTGGCTTTCTGGAATATTCAATTTTTCAATTTTTAATGTGTGTTCTGGAATTAGTCTAATTGGGATGACTTCTGGAATGGCGATTTCTTGAATAGTTTTCTTATCATAGTGAATTCCTTCTATGTCGATAGGTTCATCTGACAACAGGATGCTGCTTTTTCGGATTTCTTGTTGATTTATAATTATTGGGTGGACTATTCCCAATAAAATTACTTTTCGGGTTTCCTGTGAAAAGTTCTCTGTGATCAATGTTTTGGTGCAATTTTGAACATTAGGGATGAGGCATCTGGACTTCACGGGCCTGGCACATATAGTATAATCTGCTTGGCCGGTACATGTTTCATACCATTTGCTATTGGCATAATAGTGTGCAGGAGGCAAAACCATTATGTGATCATTATTAGGGATAGGATAAATTCTAAAGGTGGGATAAGCGTTAACGTGGAGGATTGGGATTTTGAGAATTATGAGCATTGTATTGGGTGTGACGCAAACTAGAGATTTAGATGATTCGATAAGTTCATATGGGTGTTCGTCATGGACGAGTAGGGCATTTCTTGAGTAAATTTTTATAAGGTTTTCTTTTAAGTCCTCGAGTTCTTTAAGAGTAAATAATTCTATATTTGACAAATTTAAATGTGAAAGGGTAATTGTCCGAATAAGTTTCATAAGAAATTCGTTAATGTTTTGAAGATTTATTATTTCATTATGTAGGGTAATGTATCCATCAAAATCAGCTGATAATTTATTAATCGCTAGTAAAAGGGCTCTATTATTTTTAGTTACTTGTTCTAAAAGTTTATTGAATCTCGTATCAATAGATTGGCCAAATGAGATTTGATTATTAAATTTTTTTATTATTTCATTTTGTTTAACTTCTATTGCGGTAATGTGAGTCTTTAGTAAATTTAAGTCAGAGTCGTCAGGATTTCCGGTTATGTATTTTATAGTCGTGCCAAGAAAATTAAATAGTCCTTTTTTCTGTTTTCGTGTTATTTTATGTAGGTTGTCTTTTGCTTCACCATGTATGTGATTGTATTGAGTATTTAATAGAGAAAGTGGTCCAGTTTTAATGAATTTTTAAAATAGTCGTTAAGGCTGATATCTAAAGTTTCTTCTAGTTTTTGTAGGTCAATGTGTAAAATGTGTCTATGATAATGTGAAATTTCTCGGGATTTGTCAATTTCTTCAGCGTAATATCCATTATTCGGAATCACTTGAATTTTGACAAGCTGTCCCTGACGTCCCAGTGAGAGGATTGTCCTGTAAAGAAGTATCGTCTTGAAAATTTTTATTTTTTATTTTTCGTATTCTTTTAGCACAT